GCATTTGCAAATCTTTTGCCTATTTTTAAATTGGGTTCTTTATTTTCCTGTTGTTGAGTTTGGAGGGTTCTTTATTCTGGATTAAACCCTCTGTGGGATATGCAGTTTGCAAGTATTTTCTCCCAGCCTTAGCTACTCTGCCTTCTTTCATGAAATTTTGATGGAGTCCAGTTTACCCGATTTCCTGTTTCTGTTCCTGACCTCCCTGCCTTTGCCCCGGGAGCACCACACTGCCCTGAGTACTTAGCTCCACGCAAGTCTGGACGGCCCCCACCTTCCTTGGATCTCCTTTTCAAAGTCCTTTCGATTATCCAATTCTTTTGCCATTCCATGTAAACTTAAAAACCAGCTTATTGATATCTACAAAAGCGTCATGCTGGGATTTCTGGGAACTAAACTTAGATCTGGTCTGGGGAGCACTCATGCCCATGCGGCGGCTCATCTCTCCAACTGCTCAACCCTTTGCTGGCTCCTTCCACTCGCTTGCAGATCCGCACTGATCTTGTTAAATTTAGGTATTTTCTTTGTTTTGGAGTTACTATAAATGGAAGTTTTTTTTAAAAAACTGACTTTGGGATGCCTGGTGGCTCAGTCGGTTAAGTGGCTGCCTTCAGCTCCGGTCATGATCCCAGGGTCCTGGAATCAAGTCCCACATCGGGCTCCTTGCTCAGCAGGGAGCCTGCTTCTCCCTCTGCCTCTGCCGCTCCCCCTGCTTGTGCTCTGCCTCTCTCTCTGACAAATAATTAGATAAAATCTTTAAAAAACAAGACACTGACTTCTAATCATTCATTGCTAGTGTGTACAAATGGAACCACTTTTTTTTAAAATTTTTTATTGTTATGTTAATCACCATATATTACATCATTAGTTTTGGTGCAGTGTTCCATGATTCATTGTTTGTTCATAACACCCAGTGCTCCATGCAGAACGTGCCCTCCTCAATACCCATCACCAGGATAACCCATCCCCCTCCCCCCCTCCCCTCTAGAACCCTCAGTTTGTTTTTGGGAGTCCATCATCTCTCATGGGAACCACTTTTTATGTCGAATTTGTATCATATGATCTTGCTAAGCTCTTAGTTCTGGGGGCTTGCTTTCACATTTTTCCACATTCCTTGGGGTATTCTGCATAAACTGTTGTGTTGTCTGCAAAGAAGAGCTGCATTTTTTCCTTTCCAGTCCTTGTGCCTTTTATTTCCTTTTCTTGCCTTATTGCACAGGGCAAGCCTTTAGTTCTGTGCCATGCTGCAGGGGTGTGTGGGTGCGGCCCAGCCTCCTGGTCTCCGGCTGGGGGAGGGGGGTTTCCATCCTGCCGCCAGCGTGACATTGGCCATTCAGGATGTTCTCCTCTGTCCCTGGTTCACCAAGAGTTTTAATCACAAATGCAACTGAATTTTGTCAAGTTTTAAAAGTCATTTGAGGAGATTTTATGATTTTTCTAATTTAGCCTGTTGATGGCATGAATTTCACTGATTGATTTCAAATGTTGACCAGCCTGGAACAAACCCCACTTGGTCACGGTGTGTTAGTCATTCCTTTTTATATATGATGAATTCAGTTTGCTGATATTTTATTGAAGATCTTTACATTTATGTTCGTAGAGGGATATTGGTCTGTAGATTTCTTTTATGTACATTGTTCTCTGGTGTTGGTACCAGGGTGATTCCTGACCTCATAAAATGAGTTGGGAAGTATTCCACCCTTTTCTGTTTTCTGGAAGATATGTAGAATTAGTGTTGTTTCATCCTTTGATATCTGGCTAAATCCACCTGGAGCTTTCTTTTTCAGAAGGTTTTAAACTATTCAATTTCTTTGATAGATTAGGCTGTTCAGATGATCTGTTCATCCTGGTGCTTCTGGTGGTTGTGGCTGGGGCATTGTTACATGTTGATATGTATTGTTACATTGTATCCACCTCCCAAAACTGATGTGTGGCAGCTGTCTGCAGCTTCCCCCTCTGTGGGAACTGTGTGATTTTCCTTCTTTCATTCCTGATATGGCTCATTTTGTCTTCTCTTCTTTTTTTCTTTGTTGGGCTAGAGGTTTTGTCAGTTTTACTGCTCTCCCCAAAGAACCAGTTTTGGGGTTTTTTAAATACTTTATTTTATATTTCTTTCTCTGTTGTTTTTCTATCTTCCGTTTCATGGTTTCTGTTTTTGTCTTTGTTGCTCCCTTGCTCCAACTCACTTTGGGTTCAGTTTGCTTCTTTCCTGGTGTCTTGAGGTGAAGCTCAGACTGTGCATTTGAGGCCTTTCTTACTTTCTTGTATGAGTGCATCTCCCGTGGGGCTCGAATCCACACAAAATATTTCTGGATCCTTGGAGTTTTCCTCCTGGGCCCGGGTGCTGCTTACTGCCCCAAGTGGTTGGTGTTTCTGGCCTTCTGTCTACTATTGATTTCTTTTTGTTTGTTTGTTTTAAGTAGGCTCCACACCCGACGTGGGGCTTGAACTCATGACCCCGAGATCAAGAGTCACGTGCTGAGAGAACCAGCCAGGCGCCTCTCTACCATTGATTTCTAGCTGAGTCTATCGTGGTCAGAGAACATACTTTACACAACTTCAGTTTTTTTTTTTTTAAGATTTTATTTATTAGAGAGAGAAAGCACAAGCAGGGGGAGGGGTAGAGGCAGAGGGAGAAGGAGGCTCCCTGCTGAGCAGGGAGCCCAATGCGGGACTCGAGCCCAGGACCCTGGGATCATGACCTGAGCCGAAGGCAGACGCTCAACGACTGAGCCACCCAGGCACCTCTTGACTTCAGTTCTTTCAAGTGTGCTGGTGCTCCTCTGTGGCCGGGACGTGGTTGGTCCCGGTGGATGCTAGCCCCTAGAACCCACGTCTTTCTCCATTTTTTTCCCTTCACGGTTTGTTTCCTGCAGAGGCAGAGTGGCCTGATGGGCAGAGTGAGCTGGCCTTCCCCTGGGCTCCTGCATGTCAGGGGCTGTCAGGAACAATCCCATTTGCCCCCAGCCTGGAGCTGTCCTGCTGCCCGAGTCAGGGGTCCTGCTGCCTGGGGAAGCCCTGGTGTCTGTCTCCTGGCTCGTCTGGGCTCAGTCAAGTGCATATGCCGTCACCATCATCCTCCATGTGCCCCAAGTGCCGCACTGTGACAGGCTGGCCATAGGCCCAGGATGGGAGTCGGAGCTTTGTGCCGGTCTTAGTTTATAAAGGTGACTGAGGGACGGTGCAGAGAGGTCAGTGCCGTTGAGAGGAGAGTTTAATGTTCACCGCCCCCTAGAAACAGGAGGCACCGTACATGGGGCCACGGGGAAGCACCAGGGTCACTCAGGAGGCAGAGGGACTGCGGGCGAAGCCCAGACCACAGCCTTTGGTTTCCGTGGGAAAGGTGCAGCATGGCAGGGCAAATGGCTTAGGATTGGCTAGTTGGAGTCATTCCGGTGGACCTTGAGGCACAAGGTCCCAGGGGCTGCCCCTAGTTGTCGGCTTCCTGGACCTGGGTGTGTAGGGCAGGGGGATATTAGGTTGGTGCTGAGGGTTGGATAAGGAGGGGTTCAGAGTATGGGCTCTGGATCCAGGGGAAATGTAAACAGTTCTGGCTGTCGGTTGGCCCTATAATTAATGGATGTCAAATAGACAAATACAGAATCTAATAAAACACAAAACAGTAGGGTCTTCATTTCATGCCCAGAATGGCAATGGGGTCTCTGCTCCATGCCCAGGACGGTGGTGGCATCTCCATACGAAGCCCAGGATGGTGGTGGGTGTCGCTGCTCCATGGGTGGCTGGCAGGTGCTCACGGAGCCTGTGAAACTTTCCAAAGCCACACTGTCGACCAGACCCAGGCCCTATATCCAGACCTGAGCTCCCCAGCCTTACCCTGTCACTCCCTGCTGCCTGGATGTAGAAATGTGAGATGAGGGGGCCTGGGGTCTTCCTTCTGGCGCCCGTGTCCCCATGCTTCCTCTGAGGCAGACAGAGGAGTGTGGAGTCTCTGTGGTCAGGAAATGGGCCACTCCTGCTCTCTCCACCATGTCAGCATCTGTCCTGCTGCTTGGGGTGTAGGTGGGCATGGAGAGTGTGGAGTTCCCAAGTAGGACCCGTGTGACTCCCAACACAGGTGTTTGGCGACTTGGTCCTGGCGCTTGAGGCTGTGTGGGCAGCGGATAGTGGTGTGCTTACCCCCATGTGGACCAGCGCTGTTCCCGTGAACTGCGGGCTGACATCTGAGTGGGAAAATAAGCCAGGGCTTCAAGGAACTGCAGAGGGGTCCCAGTTGATTTTGATGTTGCAGCCCCCTACACAACACCCTGAGCGCCTCTGCCTGGGATCCTTGGTGGGATGGTTCTGCTGCCTCCAGGAAGGTAAAGCTTCGTGCGGCTAAGTGGTCCTGCGCGCCAGGATTGCAAGGCAGGCCCGGCAGGAGGGGGAGGTTCCCCACTAGAGGACCAGGACCGGAGGACCAGAGGACCATGGGGGACACAGGCCCCCTTCCCTAGGCAGGGCCCACATGCCCCGCCTCCACCCCACACTCAGAGTGGTGAACCCAGTGTGAGGGTTCAGGGAAAGCTCACCGTGGGCTCAGGGACATGGGCACTGGGGGAGTGAGCATGTGCAGAGGGGCCACCAGAGGTGGTGGTGGTGTCTCCAGGGACCCTGCAGAGGTGGGGGGCAGGGCAGGTGGGGGTGGGCCTGAGACCCCACACTGGTGGGGGGACAGGGTGGAGGTGAGGGGGTGGGGCCTGGGGGGGGGCCTGCAGAGGCCTGTGCTCTGGAAGCTGGGAGTGGGGCTCGGTGACTGGTACCTGGTCCCTGGGGGCTCCTGGTCTGAGTGCCCTTGTCCAGACTGCCTGCCCACAGACCTGCACTGAGCTTCCCCCACAGGTGGGAGACCCACCCTCTGGGGCCCCCTGGAACAAAGGGATGCTGAGTGGCATCCACCACCCGCAGGGACTCTTGAGGGGCCCCTGAGCCTAGCTGAGGGCCCCCAGGAGATGTGAGGGCCTTGTCTGAGGCTGGTGCTCCCGAGGGTGGGGCCTTCCTAGGGCTCGAGGCGGTGTGGGAAGGTGTGGTTGAAGGCTGAGCAGGCCTTTGCCCTTTGCAGGTTGTGCAGCCTGACCTTGAAGAAGCTGGTGGTCTTCAAGGAGCTGGAGAAGGAGCTCATCTCGGTGGTGATTGCTGTCAAGATGCAGGTGAGGGTCCCCTCGGCTGCTATCCCGGGGCAGCGAGTGCAGGGTGCCTGTGCCTGCCTAGGGGTGCGAGTGGGCACAGCCACACCCACCGCTGGACCCTTACCTGTGCAGGGGGCCAGGGAGCCTGGTTCTGCCCCAGGATGCAGGGGAGCCTCTGCCTGGGCTGGTTGACCTGGAAGATGTTCCTAAAGCTCTGGCAGGATTGGATCCCCCCAGCACACCCAGGGCACAGTCCTGTCCCCCTGAAGGGCAGGCAGCCCAGTGTTCGGAATGTGGGGAGAAGGGAGTGTGTGCAGGTCACTTGCAGATGGGCCTGTGCAGAGCAGAACTGTGGTGCAGACCCTCCCTGCCCCCACCACGCGCACCCAGTGCACCCTTCTCCGCCGGCCCCTGACCCAGCGCTGGCCCAGCCATGCTCACGTCTCCTCCCGTACGCTCCCGGGCCTTGCAGGTTCCTGCCTTGGAACAAATAGCAGTGTTTCAGGAGGGCCACCCCCCCCAAGGGAGACAGCAGCCCCTCCCTCCCCCAGGGCACCGGCTCCTCCACGTGTGGCTGGGTCCTTGCGATGGCCCCCACAGCGGAGCCATGGGAGGTGTCGGTGCCTGGCCTGCCAGCACCCCAGACCATCAGCTGAGGTCTTGCTCCACCCTCAGCCCCAGGCTCTGGAGCCCACGTTTACAGGCGGCAGGGGTGCCAGGGGCCCGGCCTGGGGCTCCCCGGGCAGGCTCACCAGGGCTCGCTGGCTTGCGCATCTCCGGGCAATCAAGCCAGGCTCTCTCCAGGCTGAGAGCTCAGGTCCAAGTTCAAGGAGGCCTGAGGCCCGTCTTTAGTCTCCCCGTCAGTTGCCACCATCTTTTAAGTAAAGACCTGGAGAAACTCTTTTCCCCCCTGAAGATGCTGCTGTAACTTATCATCAAAGCCAGGCGTGCGCGGCTGCGAGCCAGTGCCACAGGGACGTGCCCTTGGGGGGCCAGCCTTTCCCGAGGCCCGGGCTGTGCCCTGGGCCTCCAGGCAGGGAGGGCTCAGGGGAGAGCCTCACGGGAGGGCTTCAGAGCAAGGTGGAGCCCACCCATCCCTGAGCCCTGAGTCTGCCACTGTTGACCCCTTACACGGCTGCCCCCCACCCCTGGCCCATTCCTGGAGCCCTTCCCCAGACCTCACCCTCTCCGAGACTCAGGCTCTGGGACCCACGTCGCCTTTCCAGATGACCCGGGTGCCCCGTCACTGGCTGCCCGTCCCCCTGTCCCCCCACAAGCTCAGCATCCACCCAGGTGCCTGGCCCATCCTGCAGGCCTTCCCTGGGCGTCGCCCTCTGTTTGGGTCGGTTGCCGCCCACCTGCTGTGCCCCTGCATGGGGGGGGTGCAGGGCAAGTCTGGAGGAGTCAGCCCCCCGCTGGGCCGTCTCCCTCCGCCCATCCTCCCCGGGACGCGAGACACAAGATGCTCCTGTGTCCTCAGCAGCCCCTCCTCTGAGCTGAGGCCCTGCGTCTTAGCTCCCAGAGGGAGCGCACCTGCTGGCCTTCCCCACCGGCCCCGGCCTGCTCGCCTGTGCTCGCTGCCCTCCTTCACCCAGCAGAGGCCGGTCCGCTCAGGTCCCCTGAGGGATCTGGTGCGGAAGAGGCCTGGGGGCCACAGCCAGACCCCGCACAGGGTGCCATGTGGCCCAGAGGCATCCACCGGGCGGTGTCTCAGGATGCCTGAGTGGAGCCAGCCCCGCACCTGTGCCCAGGACCCCTGCCCGTCTCTCTGGTCAGCCCGCACGTCTGTGCTCTCTGTCCTGGACCCGCACCCCACTCCTGCCCTCAGCCGCTTCTCTGCACCCTCATCTTGTCGGATGCCTCCGGAGCCCCCAGCCCCCACACCCTGGTGGCTGCTGGTCTTTGTGGCTCTGAGTCCGACGGCTGTCGGTGCCCCGCTCGCAGGGGGCCACATGGTGTCCGTCTCGTGGCTTCCTGCCCCCAGCCTTCAGTCTCTGCTCCGTGCATGTGGGGGCAGCCATTTTTAAAACAGTACTATGAGGAAATCTTTAATCCATTTGGGATTTATTTTGAGATAGGATTTGAGGTGAGGATCTGGACGTTTTATACAAATGATTTGTTACTTATTATTTAGAGAGTAATTTTTCCTGGTGACGTGAAGGCTCGTTATCATGCGGCACGTTTGTCTTTTATACACATCTGTGTGTTCTCAGATGTGTTTCTTGACTTCGCATCTCTGTCCCTGACACAGAGCGGCTATGCTGTACCTGTTACACCCTTGTACCACATTTTGCTTTCTGGGGAGGCCGTCACCCCTCACTGGTCCATTTTTTCAGAAATGCTTAGCATCTAGCACACTGGTTCTTCCAGGCATTGTCCCGTGACCCCCTGTACCCCAGAATTGCCCTGTGACCCCCCTGCACCCCAGCATTGCCCTGTGACCCCCAGCATTGTCCCGTGACCCCCTGCACCCCAGCA